AACAGCCGGGTGGAGATGTTCACAGCTGAGGGAGAGCACATCCGCACCATAGCTTATACTAATCGACCCGGGCAAGCTGCTACAGGTGGGGAGGGGCAGCTTGTGGTGGAACATGTTTTGTCAGAATCGCTTAGTAACCATCGTTTCCAAATATTAGGGACATGTCAATTTATTGCAGTGGTTCTTAGACATTCTCTAGTTTATAAATAATTGTTTTATTGCAAATTCATGCCCGAGGGCTAATTCCAGGAACAGAAAAAAAGGTTTAAAAACAGACAATTAGTACACATAGAAACTACTGATAACTACTAAGAAACTACTAGTAAAAGCTACTGGGCTTGACTTCTTTTTTGAAGACAGTGGAAGACAAAGGATCTCACTTTTATATATAAATGCAGCAAGAGGACAAGATGAACAGCTAATCCCACCCCTATAGCTTAAGCAGCCCGCTAAAAGGTACATCTGAGAGTAGCCTGTGCTTACAGAATGCCTTACTGGCTGCAACTGTCGGGTGGACTGGTCACTAGGAGTGTGATCTAGTCTGGCTAGGTCCTCTAGACGCTTGATGGCGACTATAATCTTAAGTCATAACATCTGACATTCTTTCTTCATTGGGAAGAGGAAATTTAATGAATTTTTGCCCACAACTGATTATTTTAATATTCATTCCCTCTTATATAGCTACACTATGTAATTTCAGGGCTTGAAATTAACATTTGGGAATAGGTGCTCTAGAGCAGAAAAAAGTTTAGGTGCACCATGTATATAAGATAAAGTAAGAAGAATGTTTAACTCAGCAAAAACTTAGCAAGGTCTACAATATCAAATCGACAGTTTGTAACTGTAGACACAAAAGGGAACATCGTCATTACAGAACTGTCAGGCTCTTGTACATATGACTTGTATAAATTGACACTGGAATATATATATAGTTCAGGAGTTCAAATCCCGGCTACTGTTGCTCACTCATCATGCACAGGACTGGAAAGAGTTGCAGGTGTTAGAATGCGACGTGAAGCCGTGCTTCATTGTTCATTGTTCTTTGGTCCAAAAGAGTTACGAGCATTTCCCCGGTTCAATGAACCTGTAAATACTGTACATAGTATATGTCTTCTCTGTCACGACCAGTGGAAGAATTAGTTTTTACTGGATCAAGATGATCATTTTGCATTTCTAGTGGCCTATCAGGCCATTATCAAGCAAGTACAAATAATTCATTTTTTAGACTGGTTTATTGTTGTTGAACAAATAAATCCCAGGACCCACTGGCAGCCTAGATACATTCGGCTGAATTGTTGGGTCTGGTTACAAGATACAATTATAATTACAATTACAAATGCAACACACAGCTGTTCACACAAATAGGGATAAAATGTAACCATTGTTTAAAATCTTAAATAAACCATACTAGTATTACAAATATTCAAATATCTTATAATTCATGCAGCATAACTACAAAAACTTTCATCAACTGTGAGCCATTAATTAGCCAGTGATTTGGTGTATTAATTACAACTGCATTTGCTTCTATACTGTGGTACTACATTGTACATGTGTATATACGATTAAAAAGACCCTTAAGGTGTCCTCCCTGGCTAATTTGGCATTTTAAACTTTCCATCGTTTTGTTCCAAAGAAATTTAGAAAGAAGTCTAGTTGTACTGAATATTGATACCTGAGTACAGAAGGGTTATGAATATGATTTTATGGACCATATGGATGACGTCATCATAATTTATTGTCCCAAATATAATTATCTATAAAGTTATAATACAGCACTTTAGTACAAATAACTGCAGTATGATTTTCATGTGTATAATGGGCAAGGCTACAAATGTACGTTTGCACAAATCGATATCTACTAATTACCCGTAGTTATTAGAGAATAACTCGCTTTTAATTAGGCTATTATGTTATTCTTTAGTAACTACAAGTAATTATATTGGTAGATTACTACAATTTGTGCAAACGTATGTTTAAGCTTTGACCATTATGCACATGAAAATCATACTTTTATTGCATTTATCCATACCAAAGGGCGTATTACAGCTTTAAAGATAATTATATTTGGGGCAAAAAAATATGATGACGTCATTCATATGGTACATAAACTAATATTCATAACCCTTTTGTACCCAGGTATCAATGTTCAGTACAAATACAGTACTTTCTATAAATTTCTTTGTGATAAAACAGTGGAAAGTTTAAAATGCCAAATTAGCTAGTGAGGACATCTTAATGGCCTGTACAGTCAGTGACACTATCACACCTTCAGTATCTTCTACTTACAGCAGATGATTAAGAAAATAAAGGTGTATTTGTATATATTTATTCAGGGGTGGCAGAAATACTGCAATTGACTATAAGTTGTTGCTCTGTCAGACGTTTATCTAACTGTATAGTAAGTCAACCTTTGTGTTCTGAAAGTTAATTTTCAAGAGAACTCAGTAAAAACAAAACATAACGTGTACTATGTTACATTAAGTGTGGTGGAATGAAAATTCTTAATTTTCTAATTATTTTGTATCTAGCTGACATTTTTAAGAGCATGACTTCATCAAGGCCACCACACAACAGTCAACTCTTCATTTGGACGCAGATTTTAACTTTTTCAAAGTTCTATGTCTTCATTTTCCTTGCACTTCAAATTCCCAAATTCTAATATCAGAGCGATTTCTTCCTAATTACATAAAGATTTTTAAATATCGTCCCAGAAGAACTGGGGTGTGCAGTGTTTAAAGTATTCCTTGACTTTTTCATTGTGTATTGTTGACTACAGGATATTATAGAAATACCAGAGCTGTATTTGCATACATATAATTTAACATTATATACATGCATATAGTACAAGTTGTTTGTTTTTGACTCGATTTTTTCACTTCAAAACAAGACAACTGTTTATCCCCATCATAACATGCAATGTCATGTTTCCAATATGGCCCAGTATGTACAGGACAAAACGTTATATTCAGTGTGGTGGAATAAAAATTGTTGTTGTACATGTTTTGTTTCAGTTGAACTTCTTGCTTAAAGAGAGTTTCGTGATGTCATTTTAGGAGAGTGACCACACAACAGTCACAATAGTAGGCTCTGGGTAAACTTTTGATAAATTTTGGATTTTTTTTATTCATTCTTTCATTTTCAAACAATTACATAGACCTTTTTTTAAATGATATCAATCTACAATCATAGAGACCTAAAAGGAGTCCAGGAATCTTTACGTGAGACACCTTATTGAAACCAATAGGTAGAAACTTTTTAAACAGTTTTTTTGTCTAGTTGTTTTTAGTGTGTTAGTTTATAACTATTTAAAAATAGTTATGAGGTGGTGGAACGTACTTTCTAGCTTTTGTTAACGGTTGGACAGGAAAGTTTCAGGATAATGACTTGTATGAGGGTTCATGGCGATAATTTGTTAATCATGACCGTTGAAACTTTGGGAGCTGATCGAATCTGTGGTCACAAACTGGATGCTATGTTTAGTACATCTTGCTGTCAACAAGAGCCCTACTTATCACCCGCCCGTAACGGGTCACTTGACAAACAGAGGGTCCTTCAAAGTGAATATGAGTGACATGATCCGGGTACGTGTTCTTTTTAAATGGTAAGGCCAAAGCAAGTAATATTTATGGATGACATCAGCGCGCGCATTAATTTTCGGCTGATTTTTAGGGGAAAAACAAGAAATTTTGTTGCCTTCTGACAGTGGTCAACATGCCGAAAATGGGCAAAGATGTCTGTTACCATGCCGGAAGGTGGATGGCAGATAACTATGAAGAGAGGAGACAAGTAAAGACTCCTATTTAATGTTTTGTTTGTTACTTTGATGCAGTGACATGTGATGCTGCCTGTGTATATGTTATGTTCCCACTGAATCAAAACAATTTGCACCATGATTGAGTCCAAATTTTACCATGTAGGAACCTTGTTTTTTTCGGCAGGTCTTGTTTTTTCGCCCGCTTGCATTAAATTTGGAGTCTGCGGAGGATAAAATTTACTTGTTGTGGCCTAAATAGAGTGACTGCAATTGTAGCAAAACCAAAAAAAGTACATCTTCCCTACTGGTTGACTGGTTTACGGCTGTTCTTATCACTTATTAAACTTCCGTTGATAGAATTGATAGAATAAATGATTTGAAAAAACCTGGCCACCCAATTTTACCCCCTCCCTCGGTAAGTATAAAGTTTTTGTATCTAGCTCCACTACAAGTTAGGCCACAGCAAGTAAATTTTATGAATGATATCCTCCGCAGACTCCAAATCTAATGCGAGCGGGCGAAACAAAAAAACGGGCCAAAAAAAACAAGGTTCCAACATTTTAACATTTTGACTCAACCATTGTACAAATGCTTTTGATTCAGTGGAAACATCACATGTACACAGCCAGTATCACATATCACTGCAAAGTAAGAAGCAAAACATTAAATCAGAGCCTTTTCTTGTCTCCTTTCTTCATAGTTATCTTCCATCCACCTTCCGGCATGGCAGCAGACATCTTTGCACATTTTTGGCATGTTGACCACTGTCAGAAGGCAACAAAATTTCTTTTTTTTCCAAAATCAGGCGAAAATTAATGCGCGCGCTGATGTCATCCATAAAAATTACTTGCTGTGGCTTTTGTGAAAATGTCTCGTTTACGACTGCCATAACGTTTGTAGGGAACTAACAAATAAGTAAGCATTAAAGAGATCGCATTTGCACCTTTTAGTTATTTATTTTATTGACAGTTTGCATCAGTCTGTTACATATTGGTAAAATATCCAATTATTCATAATACTCAAATTGATTGTAATTTCCATAGGAAACAGACGGTATCTTAAAGTTTGTGTTCCTTACATGTTCAATTATAGTAGTCTCTTGCTTTCATTTACTTTTAAATAGTCGTATCGTGTTCTACAGAAAACACACAAATATGTATGTCTGAACAAATATATATATATATATATATGGTATATATATAGGTATCAGTAAATATCAGTACCAGAATTATACAAGTGCTGAGCTCACAACACCCTCGTCCAGTCACGTGACCCGTGTTGACCTTTTAACCTCCTGGTCACGTGACTATCCTTAGCTGATGAAGAAAGATGGCGGATGTCATTTGGACGCTTCAGCGCTTTATTCTTAAGTCGTGTTTGATACTTTTTTAACAATTCATAGTTTTTGTTTCTTTTTTAAAGATGCCTAAAGAGTTTAAACTACCTATAATAAACCTACACTGCTTCATTACTACCTATAGTGTTAGCAATCCGCTACAAAGACTAAGTCTACCGGTCTCGCTTTACGCCTTTCAATACTCAGAGGTAGCTGGGTTTCCGTGCTGGAATAAAACAGAACAAAGTGTTATTAATTAAATCTAAAAATAAACATAGCATACCCACAGCTTACCGGTACTACGTCATTATTATCATTATTATCATTATTATTATTATTATTATTAGTAGTAGTAGTAGTAGTAGTAGTAGTAGTAGTAGTAGTAGTAGTACTAGTAGTAGTATCAGCATTATTGCCGAGACGTCTAACATCAACATGACATCACCATGCAGGTGTCCGTCGCCATTATTGTAGTGAATCATAGCTCAAGCGTTTTCAGACATTTTAAGAATTTTTTGACACTTAGAAATCTTACTAAGTGTACAGGTCAAAACAAATGATTCCAAAAGAATACTAGCAAAATCTCAATCTATTTTCGGACACAAATATGGCTGTCAGAATTTGCCTGCTTCATGCCTGTTTTGATAACTGAGTTCAAACGGTCTATGGTTAAACTTAGCTTGCAAATAACATTTGAAGGCTTCATACCTTTTAAGTCATCCGGGACACAGATCGTTAGTTTTCCCTGAAAGAAAATATGAAAAGCAATAACTCTTGTTAATAAAGAAACTTGAATGTGTATAAGCAACGTTTTGTGTTTGTGTTTTTTGTGTGTATGCTATGTTTGTGTGTGTGTGTGTGTGTGTGTGTGCGTGTGCGTGTAAATGTGTGTGTGTGTGTGTGTGTGTGTGTGTGTGTGTGTGTGTGTGTGTGTCCCCTAAAAGTCTCATAAGACGAGCAATAGTTATATATTTAGATATAGGGACGGCTGGTACACAGTTGGTAATGTCTACTTCAAATATCGCTGTTCTAAAATGTGCTGAGGATATTTTCAAAAATTCGCAACATTTAAAGAATGATCCACTTACGATCTTTTACCCGACATGCTGTAACCAATGCTTATCCGCTTGCCGAAGTGTCTGCCGTATCCTGCATTCAGTCTATTCTTCAGCGCCCGTCCGAAGATCGCGCCGTAGGCACCAGAGTTGTCGTACCCAGATGAGTCCATGCTGTCGTCGCCCAGGCCCCACTTCTTCTGGACGGTATTTTTACCGGTGTCGCGTCCAAAAATACCAGCGTAGGTACCAGAGTTGTCGTACCCTGACGAGCCCGAGCTGTCGTCGCCCAGGCCCCACTTCTTCTGGACGGTATTTTTACCGGTGTCGCGTCCAAAAATACCAGCGTAGGTACCAGAGTTGTCGTACCCTGACGAGCCCGAGCTGTCGTCGCCCAGACCCCACTTTCTTCTGGACGGTTTTTTTACCGGTGTCGCGTCCAAAAATACCAGCGTAGGTACCAGAGTCGTCGTACCCTGACGAGCCCGAGCTGTCGTCGCCCAGACCCCACTTCTTTTGAACCGCCTTTTTACCAGTCCACTTCTTCTCCGCTGTATTTTTACCGGTGTCTCGTCCAAAGATCGCGCCAAAGGCACCAGAGTTGTCGTACCCTGATGAGTCCATGCTGTCGTCGCCTAGACCCCACTTCTTCTGGACGGCCTTTTTACCCGGTCTATA